ATTGTCCTCTTATTCCCCTCTCCACCCTGAGGTATGGCAGACCACACTCCTAGCAACCATTAGGGACTGCTGATGGTGGGGAGAGGGGTTAACTCTAGCCACGCCAGGGTGGGGAGCTTCATTTTACACGCCGCCCATTTACAAATAACATATTGTCCATTTGAACAAATGCCAGTCACCAAAGTTGTCATCCTATCACAGAGGAAAATAGGAGGCACAGTCAGCTGTCAAGGCCACTGGGCTCTATCATCTTTTAACCCTCATATCATGTGTTTTCTAGAAGTTTCTAGGTGTTCTCTAGAAACTTAAAACCTCAGAGAGAGAAGGTGTATTTTTTATAGTGTATTTAAGTTATTCAAGGAATAACAACCTTGAGGTATATTATGGGTTCAATAGACGCTAACCTCAATTAATTTTGATTTGGCCATACTTTTGTTTAAATAAACAAAGCAAAAGCAAAATCTGGGTTAGAGTGAGGCGCTTACTGCTTACATTACAATGTAAGTGAATGGGGCCAGTCTGTAAAAGTTAAAACACTCATTGTTTCATTATGTCAATTTAAATGTAAAAGTTATAATAATTCTTTTTTTTCTTCCATTTTTACTGTATGTGTGTCTAGTTTATATTTATTTTTATTTCAGTTTTAGTTTTTGTTATTTTAGTACATCAAGTTAAATTGAATTAAAATGAGAAATGTTGCCACATGGCAAATAGTTAATAATAATAATAATTTAATAATAATGATTAATTCGTTTAATTAAATTAAACTAGTAATTAAATAAAAATAAAAAAAGTTTTTTTTTATGGTTTTCATTTTATTTTCAGTTTTGTGTTAACATGATTTTGTGTGAAAAACTTACTCATATTACTATTCAATATTACATCTTTGTTGCCATGGTGATAGTAATTAAATTAAATTATTAGTAAGTAAATTAAACTATTAATTAAATAAAAATAAAAAAAGTTATTTTTTATGGTTTTCATTTTAAACTTACTCATATTACTATTCAATATTACATCTTTGTTGCCATGGTGACATGATGCCTAAAACCTTACAGCTCAAATAATACACGTTTTTCAAGAAGAATTTTTGCAAGTGCATTTTTACATTTCTGCTATTAAATGCTACAAAGATGGCCCCATTGTCTTCTAAGAGTTTATTTTTCTAAGTGTTTATTTTTGGCCCCATTCATTTGTAAGTGCTTTTCAGTAACCTTGATTTTCGCTTCCTTTAAGTCAAATTTTAGTCTTTTTATTTTTTTTGTAATTAACATGCCACAAATGCTGTCAATTGAGCTTAACATGCATTGAAACCAGAATATTCCTTTAATGCTGTTCCACAGTTTGTCATACTACCTCAAGCATCAAATTAACGTACTTATGCAGGTGGGCTTATAGTCCGTGGCATATGATGGTTCGCAGGATAAATAAAAAAGCCCTTGGAGACAGTATTTAAATATTACCACTCCAGACATTATTTCTAGAAGAGCAGGAGCATGGTGTCAATGGAGGCGCCTGTTTGAAATGCGAGCTGCCTGATTCTGTGCCATCATGCTTAGCATTACTGAAAACACCAGTGCTGTGCCAAAGACCGCTGATGGCACCAAAGCACAAATGAGTCGCATACGTAAGCAAGCGCATAGCTTGGCTTCCCAAAAAGAAATGAAAATACCACTGATTTAGAGAGTCCAACACATCAAGATTCCTGATCTTCAGGTCCAACTTTACATTTTGTACAATACTGTTCTTCGATAAGCAGATAGTTTTACAGCACTACTTCACATTCCCATGGCACAACCGTCCAGCTTCAGTTGTGATGAGAGTAAATTAAGGCTCAGTGGCAGAGGTGAGAGGCCCTCCTCAGCAGTGGGTGATACTGTTAAGACAAAGGGACTCAAATTGAAAGTGCACCTGACAGCAGCCCAGTGGGAGACAAGATGAGCATTGTAGTTTGCTTGCTCATTAGGAGGCAACTTTATCCTTAAAGGTGTATGTTATTACACTCTAAAAAATGCTGGGTTAAATACAACCCAGTGCTGGGTAAAATAGGGACAAACCCAGCAATTGGGCTGTTTTGACCCAACGGTTGGGTTACTACCCATATTTAACCCAGCATTTTTTAGAGTGTAAGCATAAACATTTTCGTAAGACATTCATCAGTGTTTGAAAATACATTAGGGTGACCATACGTGCCATTTTCCCAGGACACGTCCTGGCCAGGATTTCTATATTGCCTAAAATTTCAAGAAAAATATTTGCACATTTAGCTATTTTATTTGTATATTAGCAATTAAGGCACTTGTGGCGTGTCAATCAATCAACATGATACCTTAAACAAAATGGGTGGATTTTTTTTTTTCTGATAATTTGTCATAAGCGTTGTTTTTAAAATATGCAAATCCAAATGGCATCAATGTCATTCTATCCCTGGGATGAACTTAATGCTGATTTCTAGTAATGTAGGTTTGTTTACCACTTGTCACACATTAGGCCTATTTGCATTCGCCCTACTGTACTGCGCAGTGATAAATCACATCCTCAATTGTTGTTTGCTGAGCTGAATTAACAGCATCAGGACTTGATACGCTCACTGCACCACATGATTTCCCCATGGTCCTACCCAGGACAGTGCCATGATGGGCCACAGACTGGCCTCCTCTGGCCCTAGAAAGAGTAGGCTACATTGTTACAATGTTACATAATTCATTCCACGGTACTTTGAAAACGTTGAATGTGTAAAAAAGTAGGACTTGTTAGGACTTGCGCACCGCCCCTCACAATATCCCGCGGCGTGATACGAGTTTAGTGCGGAGGGTGCGGCGGTCCGCGACACACTGACGCCAGGCGAGAGCATGCTAATCAATGTCTTCAGGATCATTAGAAAATCACAGGTAGGTGAGTTTGAGTAGGGTTGGAGCTAAACTCTGTAGCACATTGGCCCTACAGGGCAAGATTTGAGGAACCCTGGTCTAGTCCATTTCTATAAAATAACTGCATAATTTAAATACACTATGCACAGCTGCTAGATATGATATACTCACGTTTTAGCATGTTGTGATTGGAAAGCTTTATTATAGGGGGAAGTCGTGGCCTAATGGTTAGAGATTCGGACTCGTACCCTACTGTACTGCGCAGTGATAAATCACATCCTCAATTGTTGTTTGCTGAGCTGAATTAACAGCATCAGGACTTGATACGCTCACTGCACCACATGATTTCCCCATGGTCCTACCCAGGACAGTGCCATGATGGGCCACAGACTGGCCTCCTCTGGCCCTAGAAAGAGTAGGCTACATTGTTACAATGTTACATAATTCATTCCACGGTACTTTGAAAACGTTGAATGTGTAAAAAAGTAGGACTTGTTAGGACTTGCGCACCGCCCCTCACAATATCCCGCGGCGTGATACGAGTTTAGTGCGGAGGGTGCGGCGGTCCGCGACACACTGACGCCAGGCGAGAGTACAAGTCTGCTTGTATGAACGCTGTGAAGGATCGCGTCGAGGTGGCGCACAAGGTACAGTAAACTTTACTTTTTTTAATTTAAACGCGTCAACAAACTGTGAAATTACAAACGGCTCTTCTGTAAATGGTTTTAGAAGGAACGCGCAATTTATAACTTCTTACCGAGTGTTTATCGCTCATTGAGCACAGGGATGAAGCATCCAACTTGGTTGTTCTTCATAACTACTCAAGAGAGTAATTCACTCAGTATTTGCCATGGTTCATGTGGTGTGTCTGCACATCACCTTGTTGTTACATTTTGTTTGACTGTCACATGATGATTGTGCTGTTGTTGATGTTTGCCGTCAGTTTCAATAATATAAAAAATATTAAATTTTTTACGTTGTATTTGTTTATATACTTTTTAATTCAAGTATTGACCTTGATTATTGAATCCACACAAATGGGTTAAAATCTGTTTAGTCATTCCTTTATATATTATTCATTACATTATACATTCCGTGCTTTACCACCCACTTCGGTTTATTGTGCAGTTGGAGGGGATTTTTTTGGTTGTTCAAAAATGGCAATAAATCATACACGTCACTTACAGTGAATATTTACATGATGCATGCAGAGCCTGTGAGACCTGAGCCAGTTTTCATTGAACATTGTTGACATTGTGATTTTGATAAATGCATATTTTAATTTTTGTTTTTATTTAGGAATGATATTTTGAGTTTGTCTCAGTGCATCTTACATGCAAATTATTACTTATTTACATTGAAGAAAAATTTGGTGATATGAAAATGAATCCAATGCAGTTACTACTGTAAAAAAAAATGTCTGATAAGAAGCTATGCAAATAAATAAAGTGAAAATAAGTAAGATGCAGCTTATTTAATATGGCCCTTGCAAGGCACAAATCAACAAAAATTAACAAAACAAAAATAAGCAATAGGCTAACTATAATGATGATCGTTTTACCAATTACAAGATAAAAAAACAGATTGTTAATATGTCTTTCTGACATATTTGAATTGTTTTATAATTCCGCACACTTCTTGAAACGCGCTCTCAGCTCGCAGTGTTTTCCCAGATTTCACATTCACGTGCAGTTTACTCGCGCCTCACTCAGACATTCTGTCGCCAACCGCGTGACGTAATCTGCGCGAGCAGCATTGCTACTCTAGATGGTCTCCCTCCGCCACCGACGCCATGATGCATGAAGAGCCTGTGAGACCTGAGCCAGTTTTCATTGAACATTGTTGACATTGTGATTTTGATAAATGCATATTTAAATTTTTGTCACAAAAATTAGTTTGGGATCAAACAGTAATTTGCAGACCCCCTGTGGTACCCAATTTTGAAAATCAAATCTTAAATGAATGAGGTTTGTACAGTGACCTACATATTTTGAAATGAAATACATACAATTTTATGAATTTTCTTTACATTTCCAGATAGCTTTTGTGTGTGCATGGAGTCACACTTAATCTTTTGCTTCATAAAAATGTAGGAAACTTTTAAAACTTTGTATTTATGTATTTATTTTTATTCATTATTTTAATAAAATAAATACAAAGTAAAAAATAAAAGTAATTACATTTTAGAAAATTGTTTCCATTATTGTTGTTGTTAAATAATAATAAATCATCATCATCATCATTCTGCCCATCCACTATAGTTGGAAATTATCACAATCGTGTAGCATATTATAAGATATCTGATATATTGTTCACAGACGTAAAAAGTTGTTTTTATTATTATTATTATCATTGTCGCTGCTGTTATTATTATGAGAAGGAGGCATGTATACAATAAATAAACAAACAAACAAAACTGCTATAGTTGTAGGCATTTTTGTTCACAGACCAACATAGTGTCCCTGCTTTCTGTTTGCAAAGTGTAAAGTGAATGTATCCATCACATGATCAGGTCTGTATGCACAGATTGCGCACTAACTGCATTGGGATGTATTTAATGTGAAATGCCTGTTTTCCGTAAGTTTAACAGGCCAACTTTCTTTTGTGGTTTCTTGGCTCATAGTATCAGCGAAGCTCCACAGTGACTCACAATATACTGAGAACAAACAATTAGCCATCAGTTTACAGAGCATTAGCTGTTGTGCATGAACCTTTGGCCAGTTTGATTTAAAAGTGGCATCACAGGGAGTTTGAAGCGCACTTGCTCTTGTTCATGGCCCTTGCAAGGCACAAATCAACAAAAATTAACAAAACAAAAATAAGCAATAGGCTAACTATAATGATGATCGTTTTACCAATTACAAGATAAAAAAACAGATTGTTAATATGTCTTTCTGATATATTTGAATTTTTTTATAATTCCGCACACTTCTTGAAACGCGCTCTCAGCTCGCAGTGTTTTCCCAGATTTCACATTCACGTGCAGTTTACTCGCGCCTCACTCAGACATTCTGTCGCCAACCGCGTGACGTAATCTGCGCGAGCAGCATTGCTACTCTAGATGGTCTCCCTCCGCCACCGACGCCACAGGATAATATAGTTCCATGGGCTCTCACACTCAGAAACACAATAAACTGGGTTATTAACGAATAATAAATTGTTTTACATTAATAAATGCCTATTTAAGCTGATTCTTGACATTAACAACGTGACATTGAATGGTTTCATAAAGACTGTCTGAAATAACATTCATTGATTTAGCTATACATTTCGTTTGTAGAAAATATGATTGATTTTCTATTATGGACTGTAATTTTCACGTTTTGTTTTTCGTCTTCACGTTGTTACAGACAACTTTACATTGACAGTTTGCATTGTGGATAAACACTTTAGTAAATAAAGATTTGATTCATAACATACCATGTTGCTTTATAGCATTTTAGGATTTCTTATATATATATATATATATATATATATATATAAATAAATAAACAAACAAACAAAACTGCTATAGTTGTAGGCATTTTTGTTCACAGACCAACATAGTGTCCCTGCTTTCTGTTTGCAAAGTGTAAAGTGAATGTATCCATCACATGATCAGGTCTGTATGCACAGATTGCGCACTAACTGCATTGGGATGTATTTAATGTGAAATGCCTGTTTTCCGTAAGTTTAACAGGCCAACTTTCTTTTGTGGTTTCTTGGCTCATAGTATCAGCGAAGCTCCACAGTGACTCACAATATACTGAGAACAAACAATTAGCCATCAGTTTACAGAGCATTAGCTGTTGTGCATGAACCTTTGGCCAGATTGATTTAAAAGTGGCATCACAGGGAGTTTGAAGCGCACTTGCTCTTGTTCAGAGTGTCTGTCTCTCTCACTTTCACTTTCTCTGTATCCCTCCTTCTCCATTTGTCCAACCCTAAACCCTTGTTTTTTAATTTTTTATTAGAGAACATTGCAATAGAGCTGGCGCTTAATGGAGGGCCCCAGATCCAGCCCTTGATAAATAATGTAAGCTCTTTTTAATGCAGAGTCCCCTGGGAGGGCCGAGAAAGCATCGTTACTGCCTCCTAAATTGATTAACGGCACTGAACCAGCGCAAAATGATACATGGAGATGATGCGGGGGGTCAAGGCTGTCAAAGTTGCGTGATGGGAGCCACATTAGCTCTGCCCGCTGCACCAACCCTCAAGCTAATGCTAATCTAATATTTACATGCACTCAGGCCTGGAGAGCACTAGCTGAATGCGCAATGATTGCATTTTAATGGCTGCCCTGCATTGCAAATGTGGAACCGAAACTGCAGTTTTTTTCCTTTTGCGCAATTTTTCAAGCAGCAAGTAGGCCTACTCAATCACAGTTCACTGACAAGACCCCTTTATGCTCATCTTACGATCATTTCGTCTCCACCAAATTTTTTGATCCCATGTCTGTGCATTAGGCAATTGGCCCAAACAGTGCACTTGCCTTTAAATATTGGTTGTTTTGACTGGGCACCAGACAGCCCAAACTAACATTGTCTGAGTCAATACAATGGTATATATTGACCTTTTATGTAAGTGTGTGGTCAGACTAGTGGTCAGATTTTATGAATCCTTAATAATATGTATCAATTCCCATCACTCCGACAGCCTTTGAATACCTTAATGCCTAAATGTTTGGACTGTGGGGTTCCTCTCCAAATAACATGAAAAGCAATTAAACAAGGCAGCTGACAGACCAAAAGATCTTACCAAACCCAAGGGCCTGGTGTGAGAACAGCGTCTACGGATGTTCAGACAGTACCTGTTGAGGGAATACCCGATCTGTGTGGTGTTTGGGTTCGGAAAGGGTGCTTTCATCATGTATGACAGCTTCCCTAAGGGAACAGCTGCATGTGTATTTGAGTTTGAAGTGGCCTACAGCCTTTGACAATGAGAAGCCCCTGCCTGCCTGTGATACTTAAAGATAAAGAGGCTCTTGATGTGTCAGGGAGATCCTTGTAACAGTCACACAAAGGTGTTGAAGAGTTTCTCCTCCCCTTAGTCTAAGTCATTAGAGAGAGTTTAGTGTGTCATAATATGTTCCTTATAATATTACATCGTCACTTTGATATCAGAATCTCAGATTTGCTACTTTTTCTTTCAATGTCTGTCATTTTTCTTTCTCAATGTTCATGTTATTATTAGGGGTGTGCACGAATAGTCGAATATTCGAATATTCTATCGGCAATAATTATTCGGAAAATAATGCATGCAACATTTCATTCGTGATGCGTCTGCCACATTACTTCAGCGGCTATTCTGTCTCACAGCAACCAAAGTGCCTCCGTAGCGCTCGCAAGCGTTCACAGCGAGGCATTTTCAGAAGAGTGCCTGCCGTTTTCAGCTGGCTAAAAACACTTTGGTTGACACATGGCATAAGGAGCCGACTTTCACCCGATCATGTACAGTACATGTTGTTGTTTTTGTTTTTTGTGAAACATTTTTGTCTCGTCTATATATATATATATATATATATATATATATATATATTCTATCTTGCAGGTTATTGGTGATGGGCTTCCTGCCCTTTGCTAATCTCCTCCCTGACAACAGTATACGGTTTTGAATGAGTATTTGGCTGCAAGATGATGCTAAATATAGCAGCAACTTTTTAGCCTCC